TTATTCTGAAATCCGAGCTTTCGGTGGTTATTTGCCACCTTTATCAAGGTCTACAATGAAAATTACTGTGTTATAAAATTAGGCTGATGTAATATAAAAGTTATAAAAACTTACCAGAAAGTAAGATTCATAGCATATAAAACACAACGTTAAATAACATAATGTGATCTGAATTTCTGAAGGCATTAAAAATTTAAAAACTTTAAAATAACTTAAAAATTAAAGAACATGTTACAAAGTTTAAAAAGTAAAAAAAGGGACGACATGTTTGACAAAAAACAGTCGTCTTCGCAGGTTTGAATTCAGTCACATCTCACGAACAGAAAGAGGTAGTAGGAAGAACTATTGTTGTTTAAATAGTTCGATGTAAGTATGTAACTACAAAAAACAAACTTTAAAATGCCGTTTGTGATTTTAAGTACTACCAACCATGTTACCAACTTTGAATTGAGAGGGAAATTTAAAAAAAAAAAAAAAAAAAAAAAAAAAAAATTTATATATATATATATATATATATATATATATATATATATATATATTATAATCATCATCAATATCTTTGCCTTTATCCCTATGCGAGATTGGCTTCCCTAATTACACTTTCCATCAGTTTCTATTTTGGGTGATATCAATCCCTTTTACCGACATATCCTGCTTAAGCGACTCCCACTCTTTTTTGGTCTTCCTCTTCTACTCCTTTCAGGAACCCACAGATCAGCAATTCTTCGTATCTTATCCTATTCTCTCTCATCTTGGCAACAACTGGTGCCACCCCTAGACTTCCCCTAATATACTCATTCCTAATTTTATCGTTTTTTGTCATTCCACTTATCTATCTAAGCTTCCTCATTTCCGCCACATGCATTCGTTGTTCCTATTTCTTTTTAACTCTTCAACATTCAGTGCCTTACATCATCACTGGTCTTATGGCTGTTGTATCGAATTTTCCCTTCAGATTCATTGGAATTCTTCTGTCACAGAACACACCCCTCGCTACCGCTATCTCTATATTCTACATCTCCATCTATTTCCTCATTACTCTGCAATACTGATCAGGTATACTTAAAACTATTACTTTTCACAATAATTTCACCATCCAAAGATATTATTTTATTTGTAGTATGTAACTCCATTTTTAAATGAACATTCCAAATACTATGTTTTTGTACTACTACTAAGTTTTAAACCTTTTTCCTTAACAACTTATCTCCACTATTCCAGTTTTTGTTCTAAGTTGCTTTCACTATTTCAGCTGCCACCTTTGCGTCTTCATTTATCCTATTCTATTGAACTACGGATAGACGTTTTTATGATAATTGGCTTAGAGTTTGGTCCCCTCGCAACACATTCTGAATCAGTATTTGGCTCTGAGACAGAATCCGCAACTTTGATCTCTTTGATCGTTCGCGTTTTGTTTATGTTTGTAAGGTCAGAAGAGATACTCATTTCTGAGGGCTTCTGAGCGTTTAGTCTACGTGTGTGTTTGTGTGTATGTGTTTGTGAGTGTGTGTGGATCATGTTTAATAGTCAAATCTACAGTAATGACAGCTGCTTTCCTCGTGGCATGTTCTCAGTTGATCCACGGGTGTTTTTTGGTTGTATCTGCACACCTGTCCTATATATCCTACTAATGTGCTGTCAGGAAACGATTTTGAAAAATGAGCTCCATTCTGCTGCCCATAATTATTCCTCTCCATACTATTATTGTACCATCTCTGTATATGTAAACTAGATAAAATCCAAATTTAGATTAATCGGGAGATAAAACGTCATAAAACGATTTTCACGGCGCCAGATGATTGCATACAAAAGGCAACTTGAACGGGGAATTGTGGAAATTTGGCAGTACAATGTTAAATTTACGCCAATTAAATGTGTTTAATATCTTGGAAAAAGGCTAAAATAATATCACTATTTTCTCGATAACCATTCTCGATAGTACCTATAAATGATATACAACAAAATTATAAATATATATACAGACGAATAGAATTAGAAATATCGCGTAAAATATAGAACAAACAGTATTTTCTTCGTAAACTTGTATGTGGAACGTTATGGAAAAAAATATGATGTTGTAAGACTTACAATAAGTGAAATTAAAAGCTTGTAATGAAACAGCAAAATAATCAAATTGTATAAATAATGGGTGCTGTGCCAATCATAAAACACGGAAACGAGATCTGGACAGCCACCAAAAACAAAGCTGTTGTGTGAAGATGGCAGGTTACCCCTAAAAATATAAACGTGGGCGAAGGAAAAAAGTGGGACGTCCAAGAATAGGATGAGGACTGTAACAGGCAATAGTGCCTTTACCTAAAGCAAAGAAGATGTATGATACATTTTGAAATAAGTTCCTATGTCAATCTGCACTACTGTGGGCAGAAATAGAGACAAGTTTTTATTGCTAATAAAAATGTTTGACCAGTTTCGGAGGTTCCAATATATACCCCATCATTAGTTAATGACTAGACTTAGTTACAGAATCACTGAATATAGATATCATCTGATTGTCTCTGGTTTTGCCAATATAAGATATATAAGATAGTTTTTTATAGCTCTTTCTGGTCGCTCTTGCTGTTTTATACATACTTTTTTTTTATTCTTCCTTTAAACACTTACCTATTCTTCATCTAATAATGTTTTACTTAAATTAGATTTCCTGGTACAATTCAACGATACTTTTATACATAATAATAATCTTTTCTAATCAGTATTTGTAGTTTCTATCGATAATAAACTATTCTAGGAATAAGATTAAAAAGACATTTCAAAGCCGGCAATATGAATGAAACTAACGAATAGATAATCCTAATTTGGAAAATTACAACACTAATTTTATACAATTTTAGAAAGTTTGAAGTATTTATAAGTACATAGTATATAGTTACAGAAAAACTAATTAATATATCACAAAATAAAAATATACGGTTCGTAGTCATAATTTCGTATATTCAAAACTTTTATTTACTATTTTTAAAAACTATTATGTAATATTATAAAGCTATACTATTAAAAAAAAAAACATGTAAAAACAGTTTAAAGAATATTTTCTGTCGTTACAAATAAGTAGTTGCAATTATTTTGTAAAAAGAAAAACTTGGATGGTGTTAACCATTGGTTGATTGTCCTTGTGCAAGACCGGGTTAAACCAGCGCCATGACGTTTTGAGAAAATGAATAAAATACGAAGTTTGATAATAGATTATTGTTTGGTAAATGATTTACAAACGAACTTTTGAGATTCAAACAAATTATAATCGTGGTTTTCGTAGAAATATATAAAACAGTGGAATAACTCATTACTGCTTATAATTTATTTGACGTATCAAATATAGGAATAATGTTTCTTAAAATACATTTAGAACAAAATATTTTTGTGATAACTTGACTAACAAAAAAACAAATTATTGGAAGATTTTTTATTTCAACGTCTTGCGGTTTCGTGTAACCTGCTAGGTTCGGAGAAAAGCGATTTTGCAGACGTCTTTACCATTGATAAAGTATTTTCTGGTGGAATTCCTGAGCGAATTATTCGGTAAATATGTTCGTCTTTAGAATTTCCTTGGCACAGGAGTTTATCAATGCTCACCTTGCTGGAAATGACCCGAATGTCCACAACGGACTATAGTTTTACTTTCTTCGATAGATACAGTATCTGTACATTATTTTTTATATTAACATTTAAAGACCTGAGCAAAAATTGTGGGATAAATCGTTTTAGTTTTAGCAGATAAGTAGAGGTTATTTGTATTACTATTTCTTTTTCGTATTTCAAGATTTTGTAGTACCTACATATTTCCCCTGTGGAAAAACTCCTTATCAATGGAATAATGCAGTCATTACTTTATTACACAAGTAAGGAGACATAACAGATTTAAAAAACTACCGTTCTATCAGTTTGATTTCACACATATATAACCTTTTCACAAAAATTATTTAAAAAAAGGCAATTTCGTTGCTCTCTCCTGATCCGAACCAATATGTAGCTTCGTGTGTATTTTTGGGACTCCTTATATTTACGGTCTCCTGGTTTAGTATGGTGTTAATGTTATTTGCTGGGTTGCTGGTACAATGTTCTGTTTACACTACAGTACATTTACGAAATCACGAAACTTGTTTATAGATAGATGTAATGGGCGCAAAAAATCGATTAATTTCTTAGCGAAATTTTTGAAAATCCTGTCTTTAAACTCATTTATTTTATTTTAAATCGTCGTTAGAGAAGAGCTGATTTAAAATTCGTTAAAAAATATTAACAAATTTACTAAGCTCATTTTTATAAGTTGTACCTTGTATCGTGATAAATTTTATTTGAATATTTAAAAAAATTTAATCCATCAGACAAATTTCTGGTGTGTAAGTAGAAATCACAATTCGCTCTTTAAAGTGAACAGTTACTAGCAGAAAAAAATGTTAGATAAATAAGGATAAATATAGGACTTAACTAAGAATATAATCCGATGTAACCAAGACTTCGAAATAGCTGTTTACAGCAGCGATAATCTCGGAATTAGTAGAAAACTTACCTTTCGTTTCAGGTGTTCAAGGGGATGATAGTTCCTGAAAACCATATCTGGATAGTAGGGTGTAAGGGCACTAATTCAAAATCCAATTGCACTATCCCGATCGCAAAATACTTTTTTCTTTACAAAATCGGGTAGTTCCGCTTTGATTTTACCGCTAAGTTGTTGAAAAATGGCATGATACTCACAACTTTTTCCTTTTCTCACAGTTGATAAATTTCCTGCTCACACAACTATTCAAAAAGTATTGTAATTTCGTTTCATCTATTGTGCTGGCCACATAGTTATCGATGGTTCTAATATATGAAATTATTTAATTTTCCCTCTCATCAGCGATCTCCAGTTTCAAGGTGTCTTTTTGAAAGTTAGTTCATATATTTCAGAAACGATTTTTCGAAGCGTAATTTATTTGTCCTAATTATTACTAATTACTAATGTCAACCCTCGTTAATAATAACCATTTTCAAAATTACAGGTGTATTTAAAACATTCTCAAGTAGGTTTGACGTAGTATTAGAGGTGGCAGCCAAAGTAGAAAACCCAGATAGTCCTAACTCCCAGATCAATGTTGATACCTACGTGGACAAGCTCATATTTAAGGCGTGTGATATTTTGACGATGGTAGCCCAGGATGTAGATCTAGAATACCCAATTAGAGATACTTTCCAAACGGATACTGCCATTTCCGCTAGACTTAACGGTAGTACTAAGTTAGAAGAGCGAGAGCTGGAACCATGGGATTCTTCAGGAATGAATGGTAAGTTTTAATAGATATTTATTTTTTATGTATAATAAATGATAAAACATAAATGTAGTTTATTTGTGTCCACTCCGTCTTGATTCTTGTTTATATATTTCTTTTTTCTATCCATAGAGTGATTTACTACTGCATTACGCGTTTAGAATATCTCATGAGTTTCATTTACTACTTATTCTTCTCTCTGTACCAAACCCAGATTTAGGCGTTGATGCCACCATGACAATAATATACGAAATTGAGGTACAAAATCAAGAAATGAATGATGAAGAAATATGGTAAGACATGAAACATCAATAAAAAGAAATTTGCAAAATCACTAAAACAAAAGATATGGTTGTGAGAAACAGACAACAAAACGTAGAAAGTTAAATACAAGTCAATGTGAAAGAAAGTACTGCTTACAGATTTGAAATGGGGAAGAAGCTGGACAAAATTGTAATTCCCCATTTGGGAGTTAAAATAGAAGAGAATGGGAATGAATCAGATGAAATAAAATCGAGAATTACAAAAGGATACCAATATTATGGAATAATTTATGAGCATATTTGTCGTATTTTAAATTGTGTAGGTTGCGTCTGATTTGAGGTTGTAGTTTTGTCATATTCAACTTTACAATTCTAATTAATACATTAATATTGCTTGCATATCTTGGTTTCTTTGATTATAATGTTTCTTTAGGTACAGACATACAGCTAGAACTTGACCAAGCCAACGGCTGGGACGCTAATGACATGTTTAGAAAAAACGAACAAGATTATGGAGTTCAGAGTACCTTCGACCAGTCTTTAAGGGGGTACACGGTGCCTCTCCAAACAAGCGACAGCGCCGATTACAAAGAAGCAGAAGCGAAAGCTAACATGATAGCGAGCGAAATTGAAAATCAGCCTCAGCATAAAGCTAGGTTAGAATTAGAAAACGGCGATGAAGAGGCAGCTTTCGCCGCTGTTGTCAGGCCACACCAGGATTCTAGTACCAACGGTAAGTCAATTTTATATTAAAATGTTAAATTTTACTACATTTCTACACTTCTTTTATATGTTTTGAAATATTATTTTGTTTGGTTTCCGATTCAGTTGGTGCACTCATAAAAAATCAAAACCTCGACAAGTACAATTAATATCCAGCGTTTAAAGCTTTTCGAGATACTGTTGTATAACACAAATACTAATGATCAGGCCAAGTTACGAAGGTGTACATATATTATGATATCCATAGTGTGCTTAAAAAAATGTAGCTTAACAAAAGGCTGCAACGAAAAAAGTATGTTTTCCTTTTTACATCTTTTATACTCATAGATTACACTCATCTATATAAAAAGTTAACTATTATACTATAACGTATTTCTTCAACCAATCAATAATGTCGGGTTTTAACGATTTAGCGGAAGGTTGTTTATTCATTTTACTATGGTAGGGTGCGTTGTCCATGACGATCAAAGATGGGTTTTCTAAATTAGGAAGTAATTGTGTACTTATATTGTACTATTCATTTCACGATTATAATCTGCAGTCAAGGATTTGGAACAAAATAACAAACTGGAGTCTGAAATAAAACCTTTTGCTGAACCACAATAAATATTTTTCCATCATAACCATCTGGTTTACGTACACTTCTGCTGTTGTGTTAATATGAATTATTTTAATTAAAACTCTCCGATGGTCATCTTTTTTAAATTTAACGCCCAAATATTTTAATATCCTATTTAAAGGATATTTTACTTGTGGAAACAATTTCTTTAGCCTGAGTTCATTGATTAACGTTTCATGGGTTACATGTACGTTAATTTACTTACTATATATATATATATATATATATATATAATATATATATATATATATATATATATATATATATATATATATATATATATATATATATATATATATATATAGACAATTGAAGGTAACCGGGAACGACCCAATACTAAGGAAGCAATAAAAAACAGGTGCTTCAAAGTGAGTGTCTTTTATTAGTAGTCAAGCTTTCGCCACATAATTTTGGGCTTCATCAGAACTTGCTGTAATGGAAAAACATTCTTTACAATCATCGTAATTAAAGATGTTATTTTTAATATTACCTTAACGTTGACACTATTTCTTAGTGTAAATTATTGCAGATGTGGAACTACACATTGTTTTCCAAATACAAATCAAAACGCATCTCCTACTTAGAGGAAGACGGCAAACAAAGCTTAAATTAAATAATTATTAAATTTGTTATATTTTAATCACCATGTGGCCGGTATTATTTTTGACAAGACAATTGTTAATTAAGTCATGTGTCATATCGACTGTCACTTATCGATACGGCACCTGTCTCAATTAATTCTTCTTTTTGTTGGGTATAAGACACTACCTTTCTTCAGTCACATTATTGTGACTGAATAATGAATTTCGTTTAAAATCACCATTAAAATTGAATATATGTATACACACATATATATATATATATATATATATATATATCCATATACACATATATACATATGCACACACACATACGCATGTATATAGTTCCCGTTCTATATGAGCATATCATGTTTAAAATTCTTTCGGTTTGTATTTAGTGTTGTATATAGTGGTCAACACTCCGGTAAGATGTATGTATTACATACCTTCTGTTAGAGAACTAAGTGTATCATGATGCTGATGGATATAAAAATAAAAATAAAAGTTAGAACTTGTTCTCAAAAGGGAAGTAATACATCCGGATAGATGTTAGTGTATATCACAGATATTTCGTTGTTTTTTTACATTCATTTATGTTAGTAGTATAAACACAATATGTCCAAAGAAGGGTCGGACATTTACAGATATGCTAAGATTTAACAATAGACAAAATAGTCTAGTTGACTGACATAAAAATATACAAAAGGAAAAACATTCTTTGTATATGAGGTTAAGTTGTAAAATTTTTTGTTTTTATTTAAAATTATTAACATATTGACTTGTAAGTTAAATTGAATAAAAGTATAAATTTAGTGCAGGCAATCAACTAAGTCATAAGAGGTCGAAATACATCAAACGTACGATTCAGTGAAGTGTGGATCAGCAATGTTATGTAATTCTCGTGTAATAAGGTGGTAGTTATCAACATCTTTTTTGTGGTTTAATGAATTAGAACAATTATTGATGTAACACATTTCTAGGATTTTTCGATGAGCTTCTTTTTCAGCTCTATCTAGAATTATAGTTTCATTGTATAAGACCCGATGGTCATTATCGTTGACATGGATACTCAAACTTGTTGCTAGGGGTTTGTGTTTACAATCACTTTTGTGAAGAGCTAGGCGCTTACTAAGTCGTTGACTTGTGTGGCCTATGTATATTTTGCCACATTCACAGGGTATACCATAGATTACGTTGCAGTTTTTATCTGGTGGAATAGGATCTTTTAATTTAGAGTAGAACAAGTTGAGTTTTTTGTTATTATAATTGGCTATTTTGATGTTGAATTGTCTAAAAAGTCTAGTTAGAGATTGCGTTAAACCTTCAATGTAAGGTAATGATCCATACTTCACCTGTACGACGTCATCAGATGTCGATCGATCATGAATAGAAATATCGCCACGTGCACTGCGTTCTGTGTGTGAATACAACAGTTTGTTAAGCAAGTTTTTTGGATAATTATTACATATTAGTGTGTCAGACAACAGTTTTAAGTTCAAACAACAGTTTAAGTTTTAAGAAATTCAGTCACAATAAGGTGACTGAAGAAAGGTAGTGTCTTATACCCAACAAAAAGAAGAATTAATTGAGACAGGTGCCGTATCGATAAGTGACAGTCGATATGACACATGACTTAATTAACAATTGTCTTGTCAAAAATAATACCGGCCACATGGTGATTAAAATATAACAAATTTAATAATTATTTAATTTAAGCTTTGTTTGCCGTCTTCCTCTAAGTAGGAGATGCGTTTTGGTTTGTATTTGGAAAACAATGTGTAGTTCCACATCTGCAATAATTTACACTAAGAAATAGTGTCAACGTTAAGGTAATATTAAAAATAACATCTTTAATTACGATGATTGTAAAGAATGTTTTTCCATTACAGCAAGTTCTGATGAAGCCCAAAATTATGTGGCGAAAGCTTGACTACTAATAAAAGACACTCACTTTGAAGCACCTGTTTTTTATTGCTTCCTTAGTATTGGGTCGTTCCCGGTTACCTTCAATTGTCTGTTGTTTACCAGTAACCCGTTACTGTCCTTGATATTTATATATATATATATATATATATATATATATATATATATATATATATATATATATATATATAATATATAGGGTGCCCCAGACTAATTTACCCACGCTATATCTCTTAAACGAATAGAGATTTTCGAATGGGACAAAAATTGATCTATTTTACTTGTAAAACACTTTAATATAGCGTAAAAAATCATCCCCTAAATATTCATCCCTTATTTACAACTTCTAACTTTAATTTTTTTAATAGCACCCTGTATATTTTTTTATAGTTTTGGATGTGGTCTTCTATCGTCTATTCAACAGATTTATTAAAAATAAAAATCTGTTTGTATCTTTTTTAAATTTAACGCCCAAATATTTTAATATCCTATTTAAAGGATTTTTTACTTGTGGAAAGAATTTCTTTAGCCTGCAGTTCATTGATTAACGTTTCATGGGTTGCATGTAAGTTAATTTACTTACTATCCAGGTACATAATATATATTGTATTTTGAATTGCCATTATATTTCCCTCAAGAATATATATATATACAGGGTGCCCCAGACTAATTTACCCACGCTATATCTCTTAAACGAATAGAAATTTTCGAATGGGACAAAAAGTGATCTATTCTACTTGTCAAACACTTTAATATAGCGTAAAAAAATCATCCCCTAAATATTCATCCCTTAGTTACAACCCCTAACTTTAATTTTTTTTAATAGCACCCTGTATATTGTTTTATAGTTTTGGATTTGATCTTCTATCGTCTATTCAACAGATTTATTAAAAATAAAATCTGTTTGTAAATAATCAAGAAATCAATTAATTTTTTATTTTTGTTAATTAAGTATCCCAGACTAATTTATCCAGGTCCAGGCTATATTTATTACCAAAATAAAGATTTTTTAAAGGGCCAAAAACTGGTCTATTCCATTTGTAATACACTTTAATATAGCGGAAAAAAATCATCCCCTAAATATTCATCCCTTAGTTACAACCCCTAACTTAATTTCTTTAATAGCAGGCTGTACATTTTTTTCTAGTTTTGGATGTGGTCTTCTATCGTGTATTTAACCATTTTTTTTTTATAAAATGGGTTTGTAAGGCATCAGGAAAATATCAGTTTATTTTTTATTTTTGTTAAATTAATCAAGATAGCCTTAAAAAATAGAATAGAAAAGAAATATGCTTTATTGTCACTGAAATTAGATAAATCGTCAATATTACAAAATAAAAGAATGAAAGTAAAACAAAAACAATTTATTGCAAACTTTAAATAAATAGCATATTGAACATACTACTCGTACAAATAAAATACAACCTTAGGAACAATAAAACTGAAAGGAACAATAAAAATAAATGCAATAAAAATTTCATGAAAAAATAAATCAAAACACTAACTAACTAACATTATTTACATTAAATGTTCGAATTGTAACCCACCTGCTGCAACACACATTTCGAATCGTTCCAGAAGATTTCTGGTCCATGTGGCTCGAATCATTTCGGGAGTAATTTGGCGACATGCTTGTCTTATTTTTTCTTTTAATTCCTCTAAATTTTGCGGTTTTTATTGATAAATCTTTTATCGCTCCCCAAAAGAAAGAGTCAAGAGGTGACAAATCACATGAACGTGCGGCCCAGATAATTTTTGGAGAGTTGTTTGCTATCCAGTGATTATCAAAACGTTTTTGTAGGTGGTCGCTAACGATTCTCGCATTATGGAGAGGAGCTCCGTCTTATTGCCACCACAGTTCTTGACGCTCATGAAGAGGAATATCTT